GTTTCTCTTTTGATGTGTCCAGAAATTCCTTTCTGAGGCATAAGAACCTGCTAGGACCAAGTTGAGATCTCCCTCTTCCTTTTGGGGACCTCCCCAGACCCCTTTCCCTGTGACACTTTCCCCCAGGGTGGAGAACCAGGCCCTTTACACCTAGAAAATGTCATGGGAAGGAAGAAGTAGAAAGGAAACTTTGGAGGAGACAACTCTCATAGGACTTTTTTTTTTTAATGTTTGTTTTTTGGTTGAATATGGGTACAATACCTTTATTTTATTTATTTTTTTATTTGGTGCTGAGGATCAAATCCAGTGCCTCATGCATGCTAGGCAAGCGCTCTACCACTGAGCCACAACCCCAACCCTCTTCTAAGACTTTTGAACATTAAATTAACTAAGACTTACCCCAAATTAGTCTGTTTAAAACCCCAAGGAGACTTATTTTTACCTGGTAACCTGAACAACTGCACAATAATAAGAATCTCCTGAAGAATCTTAGTTCAATTATAGAGACATTCTGAGTTAACTCCTCATACATATAGGTTTTATTATTTATTTATTTTTACTGTAAGTTTCCTAAAGAGGTATCACAGGAGTCTGACAGAGCAAGGCACTTTAAACCCTCTGATAGCTCGGTGTGGTGGTGCATGCCTATAATCCCAGATAACTAATATATACCCTCTCTTGGGAAGCTGAGGCACATGATTGTTAGTTAGAGGACAGTCTCAGCAAGTTAGTGAGGAACGAAGCAACTTTAAGACCCTGTTTCAGAACTTAAAAAGCAAAAGGACTGGGGATGTAGTTCCTGGGAAGAGGCCCCTGGTCCTTTTGTAGTCCTCTCCCGCACTGTACCAAGGTGTGACCAATCACTTACGGCAGAAATTATGGTATATCACTTGCAAGATTAGATAACTTCTGTGTCTTTCTCTCTTAAATCACTCACTCTGGGGAAATTAGCTGTATTGTGAGAAGAGACCACAAGTGGGAACAGCTTCTCCAAGGAGTTTGGAATCAAATCCTCCAGCTCTGAGCAAGCCTTAGATAACTACAGCACCAACCAGTGTCTAGACTGTAATCTCATGGTATATTGTCAGTCATAGACACTCAACTAAACTGTTCCAGTTTCCTGACTGACAGAAGTGATACTTAATAAATGTTTGTTATATAAAACCATTAAGTATCCTGGTCCAATGGCACATGCCAGTGATAACAGCAACTAGGTGGCTGAAGCAGGATTGCAAGTTAAGGCCAGCCAAAGCAAGTTATTAATACCCTACCTCAAAATTTAAAAAGTGTAAAAAGGGCTTGGGATGTAGCTTAGTGGTAGAGTACCCCTGGGTTCAATACCCAGTACCAAAACATAAATAAATAAAATAAAACCACTAAATCGTTGGGTGCAGTGCTGTGCATCTGCAGTCCCAACTATCAGGGAGGCTGAGGGGGAAAATCACTGGAGTCCAGGAATTCAAGACCAACGTGGACAACACAGTGAGACCCTGTCTCAAAAATAAATAAATAAATAGATAGATAAATAGACCCACTAAGTTTGGTGGTGGATTGTTACAAAGCAACAAATAACTGATATATACCCTCTCTTTCATAATTTAGTGATAAATCACTCAGGGTGGTATAAGATGACAGTCCCTGATACTCAAGAGGATAGAGCAGGAGGATCACTTGAACTCAGAAGTTCAAGACCAGCCTACGCAATATAGTGAGACCACATCTTAAAAAAAAAAAAAAATCCTTTCTCTCTCTCCTCTACTTTCTCCTCTTCTCCACACCAGTAAGCACTCAACTTCCATTATCTCATGGTCCTTTCTTTATGTGGCCACCTGGGATACAAGGTCTTATTTTCTTTACTGACTTGTTGTGAGATCAAGCTTCCCCTCCTGGATAATTGCTCTGTGGTGAAATGATGAGAGAACAAATAGGGATAGAAGGAATGAAAGAGAGGCAGGGAATAGACAACAGCCAGATTTTGTGAATCTTCATTCATCTCCATTTCCTATTCACTGTGAATGGATTGAAGAGCCACAAAATCTACCTGACAACAAAATATTAGAAAGACTCCTTAGGGGCCTGGAGATGCCTTCAGTTCTCCAGGTCCTGAACTATGTTATAGTCACATGAGGCCTAGTGATCTCTAGGTCTCCTAAGGTCCTGTGAGATTTCCATTTTCCTCATTTTCATTTTTCCCCATGTTTTTTAACAGGTACATTATAATTATGCATAATGGTGGAATTCATTGTTACATATTCATATATGTACACAATTTCTCACTTTCATTTAACTAAGATACAACTGCTAACCAAAACCAGATATATGATTATAGTGTTCAAAATCCCCCAAATGCTAATGGTTATCTTATAAATGTCTATAAATATGTAGCTAAATAACTAAGATGCCACTGTCTGTATGAAAAAGAAAGAAAAAAGAAAAACATTTCTTGGCATTTTAATCTTTTATTTTATTATTACTTTATTTATTTATTTTTGGTGGTACTTGGGATTGGATTCAAGATCTTGTTCATGCTAAGCAATAAGCAAGCTCTCTACCACTGAGCTATATCTTCAGCCCTTTCTATTTTTTATTTTGAGATAGGGTCTTGCTATTTTGCCCAGGCTGGCCTCAAAGTTGTGATCCTTCCTCCTCAGTCTCCTAGAGAGCTAGGATTACAAGTACATGCTACTATGCCCCCAGGTTGATTTTAATATGTTTTGTGGCTGATCTCCCCTGTTAGGCTGTGAGTTTCATGAAAGCAAGGGCCATGCTGATTCCTGTGGGTAACCACAGAGTTCAGAATGATCTTAAATACAGAATGTTTATAGAGTGTTCTCAATAAATATCTGTTGGAGGATGTACCATGTGTGTTTGTTGGAGGGTGTACCTTGCCTGTTTGTTGAAGGACTGGTGGAATTAGCATCAAAGGAATTTTCCACAGGAGCCATTTGTCTGGTAATTCTAAGTATCTTAGAGTCCTTCACAAACGAAAACAAAACCAAAACACTTTATTTTTCATTGCATTGAGTTAACAGAGTAGACAGGTCCCCGTCCCCCTTCTTTTTGTTCTTTTTCTTCTCCTTTTTCTTCTTCTTTTTCTCTCACCAAAATGCTCACTGTCTCTCACATAAGACTCAGGAGCCTCTCCAGTTTGGAACCCAATACCACATTTCCCACAATACTTACCATTGACGTCCTCGTCTGCATTCTCTATTAATAGTTGTATGAATCAATGGAAACGGAATATGTCTGGAAGCATGAGGCTAATGGAAGGAAGCAGAACGTCTGTTTTCGTTGTTTGTTTGTTTGTTTCTTAACAAACGGTTTTCCCCGGCGGGTCTCGGGGGTTTCTTATGCCTAGTCCGAGTTGGTGTGGAACTCGGCCGGCAACACACAGCCCCTGCAGTTTCTAGCTGCCCAGAGTGAGGCGAAGGACTCGTGGCAGAAAGGATCTGCAGAAAGGCAGAGCGATGAGCTGTTCTTGCTTGGTAGGGGCGAAGTGTAAGAGCCAGGGAGATAACGCCAGGGTACCAGGCTGCTCCACAGTAGTCCGGTGAGACCTGGAGTTTCGCATTAGATCCTCCTCTGAGGTACAGCATTTAGATCTGGCCCTCGGCTCTGGAGAGGCGATTCCCGTGGTTCAGTAGCTCGAGAAATGGGTTTAGTACTTGTCAAGCACTTGGAACTGGGCACCACAGAACTCGGAATCCTTTGCGAGCTAGTTAAGGACTACATTTCCCAGGAGGCTTTGCAATGATTGACGGCTAATTGCCCAATAACTCAGGAGAATTTCAAGTTGTGGTAACAGAGAAACCAATGGAGTGAGCCAGGGGCGGCGTTTTCCGGCTGCTGGCTGTCGAACCCTGAGTCCCACCTGTGTCCTTACAGCCCTGACACGAATCCCAGTCAGGTTCTGGAAGGACCTGCTCAGTTTTGCCGGCTGGGTGCGGCTCGGCGGCGGACTCCTGCTTCCTGCTCCATCCCCGGCTGGGCCTGGGGCGGTGAGTGATCCAGGGAGGGAGTCTGAGGCTACACCTCACCAGCTGCTGAGGGGCGTGGAGGGGGGCTCGCCTGCCTACCCGACGTTGTCCACGCCAGGTCCAGGCTCTCGCCCTGTAGGAGCCCCGGGTCTTGCTGAGCTGTGGGGAGATGCAGTTTCTATACCACCCTCGGTATAGAGTGCATCATCTTAGTCAATTTTCTTGCTCCTTAGTGGTGGTCCCCGGGTTTCAGCTTATCTCTGTGACCCTATGACCGCTGCACCCTGATTAAGGCCTGGAGCGCCGCGAGGAAGAACGGGTGTCAGCCCCACCGGTGCGGTCATGTTCCTATTAATAAACCCAGGAGGAAACTCGCACATCTCACAATGGCACTTAGTCATAGCACCTTAGCATTCCAAGGCCTTTGGGGTCACTTGTACAGGAGAAAGGAGACTGGGTGGGAAACAGTTTTTTTTTTTTTTTTTTTATAAAAACATAGCTAAGAATGATCTCTCCTTCAATCACACTATCTACTGCAAGTGAGCTCTGCAGTTATGTGTTTTGTAATGAATGTAGAAATAAAATCTGTAGTCAAAACTTATAAATTTTACTTCCTAATGACATTATTTCTGATAAGGTTTTAAGTTAGAGAGATGAAGTGTACTCCTACAATGTTTAGATCCTTAAAAATATAAATGAGCAATAGCAGTGTCTGTAAATACCTAAATATTTCTATTAAAACGGTGTATATTCAAATAGTAAGCAGGTACTTTGCTTAATGGAACAAAAGATGTTAAAGAGCCTGACACAGTGGCTCATGCCTGTATTCCCAGCCACTTCGGAGACTAAGGCAAGAGGAGTGCAAGTTTAAGGCCAGCCACAGAATCTTTGGGAGACCCTATCTCAAAATAAAAGATAAAGGACTGGGGCTGGGGTTGTGGTTCAGTGGTAGCAAGCTTGCCTGGCACGCATAAGGCACTGGGTTCAATTCTCAGCACCACATATAAATAAAATAAAGGTCCATCAACAACTTTAAAATATTTTTGTAAATTTATTTTTTAGTTTTAGGTAGACACAACATCTTTATTTTATTTTTATGTGGTGCTGAGAATCGAACCCAGTGCCTCACCCATGCTAGGCGAGCATGATACCACTTGAGCCACATCCTCAGCCCACAACTTTAAAATATTAAAAAAATAAAAATAAAAAAATAAAGGACTGGGGGAGTAGCTTAGGTACAGTGCCCCAAGATTCAATCCCTGGGACCAAAAAACAAAAGCAAAACAAAAAGATGTGAAAGACTAATACCTCCTCACTCCAGTCTGGTTTTTCTTCCACTGAAATGCAGAATTCTTTGTAGGGGATGGTCCACCAGCTGGCTGACTTGGGGTTTCTATTGAAAACTCTTTAAGCGGTAGGGGGAACTCCTACTGCCTTACACTATGTTAATTACTGAAGGATTTACAGATTTATCCAGTAATAACTCCTACCATTCTCCCTCAAAATAATCTTTTCATGATTCTGCTGTCAATGTTATGACAGTTTTCAGCATTAAGGGATGTGTTTTGTGCTTCTCCCCATTGAGTTTTACTTATTTTACAACTTATCCATTTTTTTTTAGCCCATGTATTTTTACATCTCATTTTTGAAGCCATTAAACCTTGAAATAGAATGGTTCCCAGCAAAATTCCCCTTGGGATTCTGCATAGTCTTTTCCTTGAGGTTGATCCCAAATCTATAAGCCAAGAAGAGTCTGCTGTTCTCAAACTAAAATAAGAAAAGGCCACAATTTTCTAATTTGCTGAGTAAAATGTAGTTGGAGAGAACTGAAAGCTTTTCAGAAATTGAATTATACTTGCAATCTCTCTCCTTTATCTTTTTCCATTATGAACACTAGGTTCCTTAAAAAGTTAAGCTATCAAAAAGATTGAGGGTTTTGTAGATGTATCTGGGAGGTCCAGACCTCTCTTAGTGATGGGAAAGTTGGCTATGTGAAGGATTATGTGAAAACATAATAAGAAAAGAAATCCCCAGGCTCAGTAGCACATACCTGTAATCCCAGCAACTCAGGAGGCTGAGGCAGGAGGATTGCAAGATCGAAGCCAGAGACCCTGTCTCAAAATGAAATAAAAAGAGCTGGGTATGGTGGCCCACACCTGTAATCCCAGTGATTTTTGAGGCTGAGGCAAGAGGATCATAAGTTCAAAGCCAGCATCAGCAACAGTGAGGTGCTAAGCAACTCAGTGAGACCCTATCTCTAAATAAAATATAAAATAGGGCTGGGGATATGGCTCAGTGGTTAAGTGTTCCCCCTGAGTTCAACCCCCAGTACCGCCCCCCCCCACCCCCGCAAAAAAAAGGTCTGTGGATGTAGCTCATTGGTATAGCATCCCTGGGTTCCATTGCCAGTACAAAAAAAGGAAGAAAGAAAGAAAGAGAAAGAAAGAAAGGCAACTCTTCTGTCATTGACAGAATTTACCTCAAGACTGTTCTAGTCAAGGGGCTTTTTGTTTGGTTTGGGTATACAGTGTCCATCTTTTGGTTTTCAGACAATAGTGAGAATATCTAGGGAGCTATTGATGCATATTGAGGTTTCTTGCTTTAGGAACTGATGACCCTCAATGATGTGGCTGGGGACTTCAGGGAAGAGTGGGTTACCTGGACACTGCTTAAAGAATTCTCTTCAGGGATGCCACCCAGCACAGTTAGAAGAATGGGCTCTCAAAGGGTAAGGATGTTACTCTCCTTAAGCTTTAAAACTTAAGCCAGGTGCAATGGTGCATGCCTGTAATCCCAGAAGCTTGGGAGGCTGAGGCAGGAGGATCGCCAGTTCAAAGTCAGCCTCAGCAATAAGCAAGGTACTAAGCAACTCAGTGAGACCCTATCTCTAAATAAAATACAAAATATGGCTGGAGATGTGGTTTGGTGATTGAATGCCCCTGAGTTCAATCCCCGGGACTGCCTTGCCCACCAAAATTTAAAATTTAGATATTTTGAAAGGGCCCAAGTCTGAGTGGTATCTGGGGACACTGGTTTCTTAGATTCCTAGACATATCTGAAATTAATTGTTGCTCCTTGGCAGAAAAAGACTAAGAGTGACTTCTATTTTTATATTTTTATGGCACTTTATGTTTTTCAGGGTTGTGTTTTTTGGGGGTTTTTTTTGTTGTTTTTTTTTAAACGATACTGGGAATTGAACCCAGCATTATACTAAGCTACATCCTCAGCCCTAAAAAAAAAATAAATAAAAAATAAAATTTTGAAACAGGATCTTGCTAAATTGCTCAGGCTGGCCTTGAGCTTGTAATCTTTCTACCTCATCATCCTGAGTAGCCAGGATTGCATGCATGGGCCACTGTGCTTGGCAACAGATATCTTTGATATTTATCATTTTCTTACTATCTCACTATAATATTTTGATAGATATGCTACTGTTCTCTTTTTCTAGTGAAGAACACTGACACTCAGAAGGGGCAGAGGTAAAAATCCAACCCAGGTCTTTGTGGAAAAGGGAGGACTGTCCCCATGGGGTTTTTACCTATCACTTAAACAAAAAAAAATACTTCCAGTGCTTTTTCTAAAATACCAATGGACTGGAGAAGTAAGTCACTGATAGAGCTCTTGCTTATAGCATGCATAAGGCCTTGGATTCAATCCCCAGTAAAAAAATTAATACTCACTGATGAAAAAGACAGGCAAAATGAAAACAGAAGTCACCCCTAATCCTATCACTAGTGAGTTACTAACTACCAGCTTTTATTTATTTATTTGTTTGTTTGTTTTTGTGGTGCTGGGGATTGAACCCCAGGGCCTTATGCATGTGTGGCAAGCACTCTACCAACTGAGCTATATCCCTAGCTCCCTACCAGCCTTTTTATAAGCATATATAAAATTTATAAAACAAAATAAAAAATGAGGATGGTGGCATATACTTGTAATTCCAGCTACTCTAGAGGCTGAGACAGGAGAATCATGGCTCAAGAGCAGTTTAGACACAGGGGAGACTCTTTATCAAAAAAATAAAAGCTGAGCTTGGTGGCCCATGCTTGTATTCCTAGCAACTCTAGAGGCTGATGCAGGAGGATCAAAAGTTCAAAGTCAGCCAGGAGTTTAGCAAGACTATATCTCAAAATAAAAAATAAAAAGGGCTGGGGATGTAGCTCAGTGGTAAAGCATCCCCAAGTTCATTGCCAGTACCAAAAAAAAAAAAAAAGAGAGAGAGAGAGAGAGAGAGAAAGGAAAAAACCCCAAAACCACAAAAGAATATTTGAATTATACTGTACATTCAATTGTGCCTATATTGTGAATGTATATTTTGGTAATAATATCTTTCTGTACATTACTTAACATAACCACTTCACATTTTGTTAAATTATTTTAGTTGTAAATGAACACAATACCTTTATTTTTATTTACTTTTATGTGGTGCTGAGGATCGAACCCAGTGCCTCACACAGTGTTCTACCACTGAGTCACAACCCCAGCCCGAGAGTGGATACATTTCTAAGGTATTTAAGGTATTTGGTAGTTTGCCAAGTTCCTTACAAGAAGATTGAATCAATTATATATTACCATGGCAGTAAATTAAAATGTTCATTTCTTTCTATTTTATCTATGAGAGTGAATATTCTAATTTAAGAGTTGGGGTAAAATAACAATGATAGGGTGTTTTAAAGAGTTAAACTTAATCCTCAAGAAAAATCCTCTAATGTAGACCTTATTATCTTTTTTTTTTTTTTTTTTTGGGGGGGGGGATCTTGCTAAATTGCTTAGGGCCTGGCTAAATTGCTGAGGCTGGCCTTGAACTTGCAGTCCTCCTGCCTCCTCCTTCTCCATAGTTGCTGGGATTAAAGGCATGTGTCACTATATCCAGCTCATATTTAATTTATTTATTTAAAAATATGGAACACATCATAAATTTGCATGTCATTCTTGGGAAGGGGCCTTGCTAATCTCTGTATCATTCCAATTTTTGTATAGGTGCTGCTGAAGTGAGCACTAACCCTATTTTATTGATGAAGACACTGAGACACAGAGTTTAAATAGCATTTCCGAGGTCACCAGCTTGTAAATGGCAGGGTTAACATTCATATTCAGGCATATGACTCTTGAGTTTGTATTCTTTACCTCTATACTGTATTACCTAAGTAGATCATTGTTCTAATTTGAATTTTTTCTGTCAATGGTAAAGTTAAGGGTTTGTCATACATTTATAGGCTGCTTTTTTTCTTTCGTCCAATTGCCTCTTCACATTCTTTTTTTTTTAGTTGCCAATGGACCTGTATTTAATTTATTTATTTATATGCGGTGCTGGCTCAAACCCAGGGCCTCATATATGCCAGGCAAGTGCTCCACCACTGAGCTACAACTATAGCCCCCTATTCACATTCTTTGTCCATTTTTTTTCCCCCCTTAACAAGTTTTTGTCTTTTTCTCATGGCTGTATCAACAGCCGCCTTTCTGGGAAAATTGTAAAGCCAAACATTATTGTTAACTCCCTTGATTCTTTTTAATGGTTAGATTATGGCAGCTTTGTTTCTGATGAGTTTATCGTTCTACATTGGTTTAACCTTGTGTCTTCAGAAATGAATTATGGTGCTTATTCCAGAGTGTCTATCATCCAAGTCTGGCTTGTGTGAATGTGTGAGTGAGTGAGTGTGTGTGTGTGTGTGTGTGTGTGCACGCGCGCATGCATGCATGTGCTTTCCCAGGGCTGGGAATCGAATCCAGAACCTTGTGCATGCTAAGCAAGTGCTCGACCACTAGTTACCCAGCCCCATGTTTTTGTTTTTGTTTTTAATCAGAGGAAAAAAGCTTTTTCCCCTTTAGCCTCCTGTAGCAACCATTCTCTATTAGCACTTCACCTGGTTGCTTTTTTTTCCCCCATTACTGGGGATTGAACCTAGAAGTGCTATACATTGAGCACTTTTTAATTTTTATTTTGAGACAGGGTCTCACTAAGTTGCTGAGGCTGGCCTCAAACTTGTCATCCTCCTGCCTCAGCCTCCCGAGTCACTGGGATTCCAGGCATGTGCCCCACACTCTGGTTGCCCTTTTAATGAGCCCAAACACACATTAACAGTCCACTTATGTTCTTTACCTAGGGAAAGTAGAGAGCTTGGTGTCTGGTCAGGCCTTGTATGCTTGGCTCATATTCACATCCTATGTTCATTCATCTTCCTGTGTAGGATTTCTAGACCAAGTGTAATCTCCCAGCTGGAGCAGAAAGAAGCACCATGGGTTCTACCACTACAAAACTTTGAAACAATGACAATCCTAAGGAAAAGTCACACAGGTGAGACGTTAGTGCTACCTAGTAGGAGGAAATCTAGAATTTTAGCTCTTCTTTAGATGAAAAATTTTGACTGCTTCCCTGACTTTTTTTTTCCAGGAAAAAAAATGCAAAAATATATAATAACCTAAGTCACAGGAGTATTAAACTCTTGCCCTAGCCTTTTGTTTTTATTAGCAAAGTTTACATTTGATTTCTTGGGCAGTCAGTCAGAAATTGACTTCATTTTGAGTAAGCATTTCACTTTATCTATACTATAACATCTTTAAAGGAAGTTGCCCAATTTTGACAATATATGGTATACCTTTTTTTCTCCATTGCAAGGAATTGAATGCAGGGCCTCATGCATGGTAGGCAAGCACCTTACCCTGAGCCGCACTTAGTCCTCAACAAACTTTGCAAATAAAATAACAAGCAGAGTGATCAAATTAAGTGTAGCCTACTGCTACTGTAATTTTAATCATTCTTAACTGATTTTTTATGTTCTTTTCTTACAACTGATAACTTTATTCTGTGTTATTTCCATTAATTTTTCAGACTTTGACCATCAGGTGGCAAAACTCAGTCAGGACATTTCTGAAACAACAGAACAATGTGGAACATCCTCAGAAAGGACCAATAAAAATATTTCTCATGTTCCTAATTGGGGAGGAAACTGGGACAGGGCCCTTGAAGTAGGAGAGCAACATAGAATGCTTCCAGGAGAGGGCCAGCAGGAGCCCTTTGCACAGGCCAGGGATTTAAACAAGTTCCTGCGTGGATATGTAGGAAAGAAGCCTATGTGTGCAGAATGTGGGAAAAGCTTTAACCAGAGTTCTTATCTCATAAGACACCTAAGAACCCATACTGGTGAGAGACCTTATAAATGCATCGAGTGTGGGAAAGGCTTCAAACAGAGCTCAGACCTCGTCACTCATCGCAGAACACACACAGGAGAGAAGCCCTACCAATGCAGCAAGTGTGAGAAAAAATTCAGCGACAGCTCAACTCTCATCAAACATCAGAGAACCCACACAGGGGAGAGACCTTATGGGTGCCCAGAGTGTGGGAAGACTTTTGGACGGAAGCCACACCTCACAATGCACCAAAGAACCCACACAGGAGAAAAGCCCTACACGTGCCTCGAATGTCATAAAAGCTTCAGTCGAAGCTCAAATTTCATCACCCACCAGAGGATTCACACAGGCGTGAAGCCTTACAGGTGTAACGACTGTGGGGACAGTTTTAGCCAGAGCTCAGATTTGATTAAGCACCAACGAACCCACACAGGAGAACGGCCTTTTAAATGCCCAGAGTGTAGGAAGGGCTTCAGAGACAGTTCTCATTTTGTAGCACACATGAGTACTCACTCAGGAGAAAGGCCTTTCAGTTGTCCTGAGTGCCACAAAAGTTTCAGTCAGAGTTCCCATCTGGTTACACACCAGAGGACACATACCGGTGAGAGACCTTTTAAGTGCAAAGACTGTGGGAAGGGATTTGCTGATAGCTCTGCCCTCATTAAGCACCAACGAATCCACACAGGAGAAAGACCCTACAAATGTGGCGAGTGTGGAAAGAGCTTCAATCAGAGCTCCCATTTCACTACCCACCAACGCATTCACATAGGAGACAGACCCTACCCCTGTCCCGAATGTGGCAAGACCTTCAACCAGCGTTCCCATTTTCTCACGCACCAGAGAACACATACAGGAGAAAAACCATTTCACTGTAGTAAATGTGATAAGAGCTTCCGGCAGAAAGCTCATCTCTTATGCCATCAAAACACCCATTTGATTTAGGAAATGGTCTTTAGTGGTTCTGCTATTACTTTTCAAATTTCCATTGCTACTGTCTTCAGATACCCCAAATAGAGAAAACCTGGGCATTGGTGACTCAAGTCAGACCCTAATCTGTTCTCTTTCTTTTCTGTGTTACAATGAAGAGGATGAACTTATAGGGTCCAAATAATGTTCTGAACACAAAAGACATTACTTCAGTGTATGTAACTCACCCTTAGGGAAATATGTGTTTAAATGATTAATGTCTGGTTACTAGAGGTGAAAGGAATGTGGCCTAGAGATCTCATGTAAACCATCTGGTACAGTGCCTGGCACAAAGTAGGTGCTCGATGATTAATATTTGAGGTCTTGGGCTGTGGGTATAGTCTGTCTATGAGGCCTCTGAATTTGATCCCCAGCACTGCTAAAAAAACAAAAACAAAAACAAAAAAAATATTTTTTGAGTTCTTATATAAAGTCCTTAAAAGCAGTGTCTGGGCCTTAAAAGATATTCAATATAATATAATATAATATAATATATATAATACAGTCTATAACTCAATAAGAAATTTATAATTCAAGCCACTCTAGTTCAGAACTTACAAGGTCTGGGGTCTGAACACCTAAATTTAATAAAATGGAAACTCTCTCTTACTAGTGCTATACAGGCTTTAGTCACCAGATGTCTCATCACCATGACAAGGCAGAATTACCATAGAGGATGTTTGTGGTTTTGTGACTTAGAGGCTAAAAGAATCTCAGATCTCTTTGTAGGACAGTGTGTGAGGTTTTTCCACTATAGGTTTGCTGTCATTTGAGGCATAGAAAATGATGAACAAGCCAGAAGGACCTGGAGGAAGACTGTAAAACTGTGGAAGCAAAATTGCTGAAAATGTCAAATGATATTACAGGAATCCTTCCTGGCATTTAGCTAAAGGAAGCAATCTTGTTTTCTAATTTGCTGGGTCATTGTGTCCCTTTACTTTTAAGTTAATGCAACTCTCTGACCCTTGTAGGGCCATTCATTTTATGCACTAGAACATTCCTATATTTAATTGAAATAAATCAAGGGAAGTCAGGTTATTGGAAAGAACACTGACTTCATTGAGAAGGTAAAGTGTTTGAGTCCTAGCCCTGGCCCTTAAATTTGCTAGACTTTTATCTCCTCTCAAGCCTGAGTGATACTTAACTTACCTTCCGCCCAAGGTTTTATTTATCTGAAATACATGCGGGTTCGTGCACACACACACACACACATTTTGTTGTTGAATTATAAATGTAATGTCTCTAGAGTTTCTTGTTAAACTACTATTACTAATGTCTTTTTTTTTTTCCCAGGAAATTCTGGCTATGTCTCTAGGTGTCCCTCAGTCTTATAATGAGGAACTTTTTTTTTTAATCTATTGGAAAACTAAGGTGCAAAAATGGTAAATGACATGACTCATTAGTTCACATGGTTATAAAAGAGCCAGATCTGGTTCCTGGTGACTAGGTTTCCAATCTGCGGTTCTTTCTCTTCAACAACATGGACCAGACCAGGTCTAGGATTTGTTAGTGCCTCTGGGACACAGAACTGGAGGAATCATATTCCATCCATTAAGCACTGTGGATTTAGAAATGACTGAGGGATGTAGTCCAATTCTGAGGGAGCTTTACAGGATCCTAGGCTGGGGTCTTTGATTCTGATGGAATAAGAATGGAGGGCTAAGGGTGCAATGAGCTAAGGAGGGAACTGAGTGCTCATCGCTTTTTTTTTTTTTTGGTGGTGTGGGGCCCTTTGTTTTGATAATGGGGATTGAGTCCTTGGTTGCTCTACCACTGAGTACTTCTTATTTTTTATTTTGAGACAGGGTCTTGCTACATTGCTGAGGCTGGCCTTAAATTTGCAATCCTCCTGCCTCTAAATCACTGGGATTATAGGTGTGTGCCACCACACCCTCCTTCTTTTCTCTCTTCTTATGATGTTAGTAGCCATTGGTAATCCCTTATTTTATTTGGGGTTGCCAAATGGTAACATTTTATTCCAATCATTTCTTCTTCATTTATTAGCTGGAATATTTCTATAAAGACCACTCTCCTTTATCTACTATGTGGTTCCTTTGAAATATAGTTTGCATAGGAATAGCACAATAATTGCCTGATTAACCAGGCACAGTGACTTGGGAGGCTGAGGCAGAAGGATTGAAAATTCAAGGTCAGCCTTAGTGACTTAGTGAGGTGATCAGTAACTTAGTGAGATCCTATCTCAAAATAAAAAAAAAAAAGCGGGGACTAGGGGCTTAGCACAGTGGTAAAGGGCCACTTCAATCCCCAGTTTAAAAATAAAAAAGTAGCTGCCTGATTAGAACTCTCTGACTTTTTTAATATTGCCATCTAAATTTTGGCCTCCATGACCCACATCTCTAAGCCCCTTTCCATTGACAGACCCTGTCTGATGGGAAATTTCTAAATGCATAAATCTCATAATAATTTTCCTCCCGTACTTCCTTCTAGTTTGTCTAGGTCCCTCATAAAACATTGTGCTAAAGAGTGATTTCTTAGGGATGGAATCTCTAGCTTGCCAATTAATATTTCTTAATACTTTCCTGGCCAGAATCAGGAGAGAAAAACTACATCCCTATTACTTAGGAATGATTTTACATCCCATTTTTTTGTAAATTGAGAATATGCCATCTTCATTTATTTTGCCTATCCAAGTGTTGTTCTAAATCAAATGCCATCGGTATGTATAAAAGAACAACATTTGTAAAAATCAAATGAGAAGGTAAAAGAGGAGCCCAGCAAGCAGAGGTAAGGGGTGATTTACATGAGATTCAGGGGCTTCATCTCTCCAGAAATGGAAATGTTTTGGCCAGAGGCTAGAATGAGAAAGCACAGAATTGAATGTCCCTCAGAAGAGCCATTTTGAGAATTTGCAGTGGATTGATATAAGATGTCCTGGAAGGATGTCCCACAAGAGGGAGCCTGTTAGAGGAATTTAAGAGAAACAAGACATTACCACAAAGACTCATAACCACAAACCCAGTTAGGAACCTGATTTGTGCATTTTTTTTTTTTTTATGTGAGTGACCCTAGATTTTTGGCAGGATCTGGGAGCATCACAGAACCAGGGATCAGAAGATCCAACTTCTAGCTAGATATAATGGCCTGTAAACCCTGTGACTCAGAAGGCCAGCCTCAGTGACTTAGGGAGACCTTGTCTCAAAATAAAAAATAAAAGGGTTGGGGATATAGCTCAGTGGTAGAGCACCCTTGGGTCCAATCCAGCTTCTAGTTTTGGTGCAGTTATTTACTAGCCAATTCTTTTCAGGTCAGTTAATCACTCTAGGCTTTAGTGTATTTGTTATACCAGATATCTGATATCTTCTGGCTCTTAAACTTTACAAATTAGATCCTACTGGTGTCACATGTTGGGAGCAGGCTCTTCCATGTGTGAATTTTCATGTTTAGAGAGGACAGAAGTAGGTAGGCTGAATCTCTGGTTCCTCTCCTGCTCCTTGGCTTGCCCCCATATTCTCAGAGGAAAGGTAAAAATTTATTTCTGCCAGTAGAGTTGGCATATTCCTTCCCAACTAAACGCCACTTCAACCTAGCCTTTAGCCTCTCCTATTCCTACTTCGTAACAGTATTTTGCAGACAGAGCTTAATGGGTTGTCACATATATTGAGTCTTATTCCTAAGAGTTTGTTTTTTGTATTGCACATCTACTGATGCACTTATGCTGTGAGATGTGAGCTCTTGAGTGGTAATGTGTGACTTACTTATGAACCTGCCACCCACCTTCCTCTGTCCTCTCTGTGCCACTCCCAATACAGAGATTTTTTTTTTTTTTTTGGCAGTGCTAGGAATTGAATCCAGCACCTTTCACATACTATGCAAGAGTTCTACTACTGAGCTCTATCTCCAACCCAAGCAGGAGTTATTATTACTACTACTACTATTATTATTTTATTTATTTATTATACCAGGTATTGAACTCAGGGATGCTCACCACTGAGCCACATCCCCCTCCCTGTTTTTATTTTCTATTTTGAGACAGGGTCACCCTAAGTTGCTTAGGGCCTCTCCAAGTTGCTTTGAACTTGTGATCTTCCTGCCTCAGGCTCCTGAGCTTCTGAGTGCACCACCATGCTCAACTTCAAACAGGAACTATTAAATGCTATTGGTGGGAGTGGAGGTTACTGTCTTTCAATATTTTTCCTAGTTCCTATCCTTATGACTGGACAATCAGCTTCTTGCATATGTTCCCTGTGTCCTCTCTACAAATTCTAAGTCACTGCATAGCACTCTCAGTTTTACCTCTTAGATTCCTCTCAAGCATATTATCAAACCTTTCCATCTCCACTGCCACTCTCCCACAATGAACCACCCACGTCTCTTACCTGAACTCTTGCAGCAGCCTACTAACTTATCTCAATTTTATTTTTGCTCAAATTTCCTCTTACATAAGCCAGAAAATCCTAACTCTAATCATATCACCTATCTGCTTAACATCAGCACCTTCCCATTGCTTTTAAGATAAAGACCCAAACTCTTATCCAGGTCTATGAAGCCCCTGTCATTTGGACTCTTCCCCTTTCAAATTCTTCTGATGTCGCCTTCCTCTCCCTTGCTATGCCTCAGCACACTTGCATTCTCTGTTCTTAAGTCATGCCAAGGTTGTGTGCACCCACAGAGCCTTGGTACTAACTGTTCTCTCTGCCCAGAATGTTCTTTGCCCAGATCTTTGTAGAGGCTTCTTTTTTTTCCAACCAGGTTTCAGCCTAAACACAACTCCTTACCAACACTTTCCCTTATGATCCTGTCTAAATTAGGTTTCCTCCCCCAACAGTCACTCTCTACCACATTTTCCTTTTTTATTTTCACCAAAGTTCTTAGTACCTGCCAGATAATTTATTTTATTTTGGTAAATTCCATGACAGGAAGGAGCATTTCTCTTGTTTCCATTCTCTTTTTTTCATCACTGTGACCAAAATACCCAACAAGAACAACTTAGAAGAGGAAAAGCTTATTTGGGGCTTGTGATTTCAGAGTTCTAAGTCCATAGAGGGCTGAGTCCACTGCTCTGGGCCCAAAGTGAGGCAGCACATCATGGGGGAAGGGCCCAGCAGAGGAGCGCTGCTCAACTTGTGGTGGGGTCAAGAAACAAAGCAAGGTAGGGAAGGGGCTGCAGGGAAGAGGCACCCTTTCAGGGCACATCCCCAGTGACCCACTTCTCCCAACCACCCACATCTCCCTATAGTTACCACCCAATCAATTCATTTGAACTAAAGACTGATTAAGTTACAGCTTTTATAATCGAATCACTTTGCCTCTGAATATTCCTGCATTAACAGGTGTTCTGTGGGGGTTACTCATATCCAAATCATAACACATTCTTTCATGGTAAGTGCTCAATAAAAACTTATTGGATCTCAGCAGCTCAGGAGGCTGAGTTCAAAGCCAGCCTCAGCAAAAGTGAGGTGCTAAACAACTCAGTGAGACCCTATCTCTAAATAAAATGCAAAAAAAAAAAAGGGCTGGGGATGAGGCTCAATGGTCAAGTGACCCCGAGTTCAATCCCCGGTACTAAAAAAAAAAAAAATGAATGAATGAATGAATACACGCTCATAGGCAGCACAGTGAGGTGAAGATGTGAAGAGTCACACCAACAAGTCTCTAAATAGCCAAACTGAGGAGTTTGGATCTTACTCTCTGGGGAATGAGATGTCATCACTAATGGTTTTTCATAAAAGGATGACTTGGCTGCTACATCAGGGTCATAGTACAGAGAAGAAAGCTGAAGACTTGAGACAGTCTGTGATGAAGAGGGGTTTGCACAGTGCCACATAGCGAGTCTCCTACAAGAGGTCATTATCACAAATCACCATGGTGAGATTGTTAAACTATCTTCTCACCTCACATGCATTCTTCCTAGACCCTATCTTCATATTCCTTTCCTTTCCCTTTTGTCAAACTTGTACTCACACATACTTATTCTCAGAGCTATTGTTTTTAGGTACTTTTTTCTTCTTCGGTATTGGGGATTAAATCCAGGGACAGGGATGCTAGGTCACTGAGCTACACACTAAACCCTTTTTATTTTTTGTTTTTTTAAAATATTATTTAGTTGTACATGGACATGATACCTTTATTTTTTTATTCTTTTTTTTTTAAACCCAGTGCCTCACACGAGCTAAGCAATTGCTCTACCATTGAGCCACAATCCTAGGCCCCCTTTGTTATTTTTTTATTTTGAGACAGGTCTCACTAAATTGCCCAGGCTAGCCTCTAACTTGCAATCCTCCTGCCTCAGCTTCCCATATGTCTGGGATTACAGACAAGTACCACCACTCCTGGCTTGCATGCTAGTCTTGTATCTTCGACTATCATCTCTCAGAACAGGAGCCTGGTCCAACCTCTTTCTATAACTTCAGACCTATAAGTTCAGCTACTTGGTAGATAAGGAGGACCCACCAATTCACAAGCTCAGAATATCCAAATTACAGTCAATATCTCTTCCCAAAGCATCCTATGATGTTTTTCTTCAAATGATTCTATACTCTTCTACATAGCCTTCCCAGAAATTGCTGGTCAACTTGAGATTCTTCTCCCTCATTTCCTATTTTTTGTTGGTACCAAGTCACATAGTCTCTGCCTCTGCTGTCTGTCCTCCTCTACACACACACTTTTAAATTGCAAAAGCACCTTGTTCTTGTAAAGATTTCCAAAAAAGACAGAAGTGCTCAAAGCAAAAGAATGCAAAGGTCTTGTCTCTTTCTTGTCCCTCCTCTAGTCCCTCTCCCTGGATTCCAGCTCTGTAACAGTTTGGCATGCCACGTCTTGCCTCCAGCTCTTCTTTTCCATTCCCACTGCCATCATCTGAACTCCACAATTTTCCATTTGGTCTCCTGGCTTTTCCTTTCAGTTCAGCTCAACAAATGTATAAGAAGTGCCTTCCACATACCAAATCCCAGAGGTACAAAAATGTGTAAGATAAAGAGGTCCACATTTAAAAGTTGTTTAACTTTGGGCAAGTTACTTACTCTCTCTGACTGCTATTTCCTTACCTGTAAAATGAGGACAATCATAGTGCCTTCTTCATAGGGCTGGGTGAGGATTAATAAGATAATACACATAAAACTCTTTGTACAGTATCTCTGTAAATGTCAATGTCAACAATGAGAAAGATGATAATCTGCCTTGAAGGAGTTTACCATTTAATGGGAGAATTGAAGAATAAAAATTATCTAGATGAAGATAGATAACCAAATGGTTTTGGAAAAGGTAGAGAAGCAGTTTAAAATTAAAAGGCTTAGGGAGTTAGGAGACAGAGAGTTAAGAGATTAGACTTTATTCTCTAAGACATTAATTATCAAAATGTGAAACAACCACCACCTTCATCAGTCTTACCTGGGGTGCTTATTCAAATATGGTCATTCAGATAGTGGAATACTATACAACTGGAAAATAAACAAACTCTAGTTACATGTACCACTACAGATAAACATCAAAAATCATGTTTGCTGGGTATGGTGGCACACACCTATAATCCCAGCTACTTGGGATTCTGAAATAAGAGGATTTCAAGTTCCAGGACAGGCTGGGTAACTTAGCAAGACCCTCTCTCAAAATAAAAAAAATAAAAAGAACTAAGGTTATAGCTCAATGGTTAGAGCACCCCTGAGTTCAATCCCTAGTACCACAAAAAAAAAAAAAAAAAGGGAAAAATCCTTTTAATTAATGTGTATAACTTCTATATCTTTTCTTATTTCACAAGAAAACACACACAGGTGAGGTGTTGTAAGCCTGTAATCCCAGTGGCTCAGGAGCCTGAGGCAGGAAGATCATCTGTTCAAAGCCAGCCTCAGCAATATATCGAGGCCCTAAGCATCTCAGTGAGACCCTGTCTCTAAATAAAATACAAAAAAGGGAGGGGGGTGTGGCTCAGTGGTTAAGTGCCCTGGGTTCTATTCCTAACACCAAAACACACATACACATGCACACACACACACACACAAAAAAAAAACCCAAGAAAATGATGTTCTTGTAAAGACTCATCTTTCCCTCTTAAATCTCATGAAGTTGAGTTATAGTGAAAAAAAGACAATCTAAAGTGTCTGAACCCTCAACAGACACTAGGCCAGTACCCTTCATTCTCTCGATTATACACACACCTTCTTATTTTCCTTTCAGACAAAATTTCAAAATCCCCTCCCCTTGTATATATCTTTTTGTGTATATGATGCTGGTAACTGAACCCAGGGCTTGCATGCCAGGCAAGTGCCCTACCACTGAACTAACTACACTGCCATACCCACTTATGTGTAACAGTGCAAATTAAATGTTCAAAAGGTTACAGGCCCTCCCATCCATAAATAGCCAAACTAGGACCTGCTGTCTGAATGGAGGATGCCCTGCTACATTAATAATGTTCATATAAACATGTTTATTTTCCTCCAGAAAAAAAATGCTTCCACATTTTAGATTATTTCCACAGGGTGTGAACATTTTTACAGTTCTACTTACTTGATGCCAAATCATTTTCTAAGTGAATTGTACCAATTTACAATGTTATCAGCAGTAAATGACTACCAATTTCACCACACCCTCATCTTTGAGAAACAGTATTGTTAACATAATTGATGATTCTTGTGTATTGTTTTAATTTGCATATCTTCGATTGCTTGTGATGTGATTACTTTTGAAATTTGTTCTTACTTTAGCTACTTTCTTGTATTCTGTCGTTAACTATGTGTGTCCTCAGAGCAGGATGGAAAATAAAAACTTGGCGCTGGGGATGTGGCTCAAGCGGTAGCGCACTTGCCTGGCATGTGCGTGTCACTGCGTTCGATCCTCAGCACCACATACAAATAAAGATGTTGTGTCCGCCGAAAACTAAAAAATTCTCTCTCTCTCTCTCTCTCTCAAAAAAAAAATAAAAATAAAAACTTGACCATTTGATTTTGAGGAAGTTGTTTACATTTTTCCTGTTATCTTCCTCCTCCCACCTTTATTTTTTTTTCAAATTTCTTACTTCCTAAGCTTCTACATTTATAGAACTATCAGAAACTACAGTTAAGTCAACAAACAAAAGAGTAAAATCACCTGTATCTCTCATTCTATATAACCACTATTATTTGTTGCATATCCTTTTAAACTTTTTTCTCTTCCAGCAATATACATAAATATATTATCTAATCTTTCTGAGCCTATTTTCTCATCTATAAAATGAGGATGCTGGTCCTTCACGTTGATAATTTTTTTTTAATTATTTATTTATTTGGCGGACGCAACATCTTTG